GTTTATTTTCGAGTTTTCTTTCTTAGTTAGTTTAACCTTTTATATTTTAAGTACGTTTTTTTTTTGTTTTTTTCGTGTAAGGGATGTTAACTGAAATTTTGATCTCGTTTCCGCATTCGATATATTTAAATACTCATTTCTTTTTTAATATTTTCCGGGGCCGTTACAAAAATTATTAGTTTAAAAATATAAATTATATATGTTTCAATATAAAATTTGTATCATAAATAAAGTATGAATAAATAAATAAGTGATCGAGAATATATATAATAATACAATTTGTAATTAATTAAAAATTAAATTTTATTTTAATTAAAAATTTCAAATAAATAATTAATACATATTTATTAAATTAAATTTATTTTATATTTTAAATTTTTAATATCTATAATTTAAATAGATAACTATTATATTATTTCATATTAATTTTATTTTTATATTTTAAATACTAAGTGAATGAAAATATTTTTCATTTATTTTTATATAATATTCTACATTTTTAATTACAAATTTTAATATTATTAAAAGTTTTAAAATTTAATCAAAAAATAATATCTTAAATTTTATCTTTATATAATATTTAATAATTAAATTTATATCAACATTATTTTTATTTTTATTCTCAAAAAAATAAAAATAAAAATACTGTCTAGTGTTGCCCCGATACTTTCTATGTATATAATAAACAATAGATATCTGACATATAATAATATGTGGTGTTGTTTTCTTTATAAACAAAAAACAAAAAACAAAGAAAAAAAGAAAGATATAAAATTATTATATTTGATTAATAAATTTATGGATAAGCATAAAAAATTATTAAAAGATCAATGTCAAACCTACGGCAAAGAAGTTTGTAGAAGATAAACTTTGGGGAATCTATTTTTATATATTTGTGATATTATCAAAACTATTATTTATTATTATATAGTAAAATTAAATATTGACACATTTCAAATCCTTATTTTTTTTTTTTTTGAAGTTATTTAATATTTAGTATAATAATATTATATTCCAAAATATTTTGTAAAATATTTTTTAGAAAAAAATGATATTAGAGATAAAATTGCTATTGACCTTTACTTTTTCTCTTCCCAAAACACTATATAAACCCAACTAAAGCAAACTCCAAAACACACGCTACTTTTTATCTCTATCCACTTGTACCTACCCGCTCATCATGAACAAAATCCTCAGCAGCACCAAGAATCGCCTGATGCTCAGTCTCAGCTACCAAAAATTCACGTCGCTGCCAAACAGTCCACCGACGCTGGATATGGATCCCGGAGTCTGGAGCCGGTTGCCGCCGGAGATTCTGGAGCATATTCTCTCTTTCTTGCCGTTGAAGACAGTGATGCTTCTCAGATCAACTTGTAAGCTCTTCAAGTCTCTGATATACTCTCCGTCTTTCGTCTCCAAACATTCATCTACTCCTTCTCCTTTCTCCTCCTTCATCTTGTTATCTCATGCTCAGTGCCATAACCATTTTCCTCTCTATGATTCTGTCGCCGGCGCCTGGAGAGATCCGGCTATTCTCCACTCATTATTTGTCCCCTCCTTCGAGCCGTTTAATCTCCTCTCATCCTCTAACGGACTCTTCTGCATTTCTCTCCCTAGTTCGTCTTCTCTCGTTGTAAGCAATCTCCTCTCGAGATCTTCGAGGATCATTGAATTTCCATCTTATCCGTTTGCGTTCGAGATTGTCACTCTGGTTTCGACACCAGTAGGATACAAAATCTTCATGCTCTGCTCAGAGTTCCCTTCCAATTACGCTTTCGTGTACGATTCAAGCACTTATTCCTGGACCAGATTCAATTGTTCGGAGCCAATCTTATGCGGAAACAATTACCAGCCATGTGTTTGTTATAATGACTCTCTGTATTTCACCACGGAGGAGCCTTTCTCGATTGTTTGCTTCAATCTGGAGAGCGGGAAATGGTACAGACCGAGAATCGAATTGCCAGGGGAGCTTATGTTTGGGAAATTGGTGACCGGCGGAGAGAGGAAAGTGTACTTGGTGGGTGGAGAAGGGAGGAATGGGATTTCGAGGAGCGTGAAAGTGTGGGAGTTGAATGAAGGAGGGATGAATTTTGTGGAGATCGAAAGGATGCCAGCGCTGATGTGCAGGAAATTCATGGCGGTTTGTTATCATAATTACGGACATGTATATTGTTTTTGGCACGAGGGGATGATCTGCATTTGCTGCTATACATGGCCAGATATCTTGTACTACGAGGTTGCAATGAGAAGATGGCATTGGCTCCCTAGGTGTCCGTCACTGCCCTACAAATGGAGCTGTGGCTTTAGGTGGTTTTCCTTTGTGCCTAATCTATATGCTTTGGTATGATAATGAAATTATTTTGCTATATATTGAATTACAGTTTCTTACTAAGTCTAATTTTTTTATTTTTTTTTTCATTTTAATCACTTTTAGTCTTTGAATTCTTTATTTTGATATAGTGCTCTAAATATATTCCATGGAAAAATCAAAATTCCATTGAAGGAAATCTTAATTAGTATGAAAAAGTGACTCCTACGTGAAAACACAATATGCACTAATTTCTCTCATCTCCACATCACAACAAAGTTTAAGGTCCTCAAAAAGCCTTAAACTTGCCTCTAAAAGTCGAAGCTCTTTATATTGCTATCGGTGTTTAATTAAAATATCATTGTCAGTCATTGTCATTTGGGTAGAAAGTCTCCAACTTTAAGCAATCATTAATTAACAAGGAGAACGACTTTTCAAGGTAGCGTTCCAAATCAACCAATGCACATGGCAACTTATGGGGATAAATATCAATAATTTTCTCAATAATCCAAAGTATAATTAACGATATCAGGTGAAATAAACGAAAATATTTGCTAGTTGACTCTTTATCAACTTAAATATGCCAAAAAGGTGTCTGACAAGTTCGGTTTCACATGTTCTCCAATCAATTTGCAGGCATGGAATCCATTTTGTGGGAAGTCAATGATAACCGTAGACCATGCGCAGGTAATGTTACAACTTAAAACTCCAATAGTAACCAAGATTTATTACTTACAGAATCTACAAATCTAATCTATAAAGCTAAATTGTAATGCTTATCGCATATAAGTCATCCTATCATTTATTATTAAAATGGTAAAGTACCAGTTTCGCACTTGTGATTTCAGCTTACTGCAGTTTAATCATGGTGAATTTTTTTATGCCAACTTAGAATCATGAGGTTTTTTTGTCAGTTTAGAGAAGCTTGTTTCCAGAGACAATCTGCATATTCCTAGGCTTCTAAACAAGTACCTACAATTAGAGAGAAAGAAGGAAGTAACAAAATAATAGCCTGAAAAACTAATAAGGTCATGTAAAATACCCCAAAAAATTCAAATCATGAACCCCTGAATTTAAAGAGAGAGAAGAGAGAGAGAGAGAGACCACGACAATAAAATTGCCAGAAAGCCAAACCACAAAGGGTAGAACTTCAAATTACCCTAATTAAAGTGCGCATAGCTTATTATAGAACTCAAACAAATGATTATTACATTCAGCAATTGA